TGTAAAACTCCATTAAAGAGCTTAGATTGATCATTTCGGGCCTTTAGAGATTTGCATGCACGTAAAGATTGCAACTTTACGTGATAAACATGCCTTTGGAGCTAGGATTTGTAATCTGGGGCCTTGCCATGGCTTAAAAAGCATCTACATGGATTAAGAACTGCATGGACTCGGCGAGTTGAATGAGGGACTCGACGAGTCCGTTGAAGATGGCCATGAACTCGACGAGTTGGATGAACACCTTGACGAGTTCGTTGAAGATTGCCTTGAACTCGGCGAGTTGGCTAGGGCTTCTTCCAAACCTTGGCAGCATACGAACTCGACGAGTTAAAGGGGGGCCTCGACGAGCAAATCAAGGATTTCACGACTTCTCGAATTCAGGAAGAACTCAGCGAGTCGGTGACCTACACTCGGCGAGTCGAGCTAACATAGACTGTTGACTCTGACTGTGGACTTTGACTTGGACCAAGGGTGACCAGTTGAATTCTGTTGGTTTCTTGGATTGGGAGATTAATGAAAAAGGTTGTGTGGTACATATAGGTGGTGGAGTTCGTGTTGGACTCGGGAGTTGAGCTTTCTTATTTCCGATGATAGTTGCGAGGTGAGTTATCCTCACTATACTAAGGGGTCTAAGGCACCAAGGCCGGCCCATTGGATACGATATCCTAGTAGTGTTATTATGTTGAGTCGGAGTTAGTTATGCATGCTAGTTTGATACGCTTAAGGGTAGGACTGTAGGACTACCTGTGATATTGATTGATTTCCTGTACGTGCATTATCGGTTACATGTGATATGTTATGAGGGATGGGTTGAGGCTGTACTGCTCCGTGCGGTAGCCAAAAAACCCTAGAGTGTTCCAGATATGAGTTGAGGGCCCGGTAGGCATTCCAGACTCATACTGAGGACTTTGGGGCATTCCAGATACGAGCTGAGGGCTCGGTAGGCATTCCAGACTCGTACTGAGGGCTGGGTGGCAATCCAGATGTGAGCTGAGGGCCTGATAGGCATTCCAGACTCACACTGTGGGCCCATGGGTATTCCAGTCTGTAAAGCTGTGGACCCATTATGTGGTGTTCCGCTCAGTTTGTTACGATATGTTATGGTTTAGCAGAGTTATGTGGATTGTATGCGTATCGATATTTTGGGGGTAACTCACTAAGCTCTCGGGCTTACAGTTTCAGTTTATTGTTTCAGGTACCTCAGGGGATCGCGGCAAGGCAAAGGCATGATCGTACAGCTCCTCCTTTTGTGTTATGTTTCTGGGAAAATTCTGATATAAATGTATTTTGAAAAAAAAAAGTTGTAATGTTTTGATGAAATCGACGTGTTTTTGAAAGTTTAAATTTGGCTTAAATTTTTGAGTGTTACATCGACAACATCCAAATGTGTCATTTCTGGTTGATCTTCATGGATATCACTTTGAATAAAATTTGTTTCGATATTTTTCTTTATATTTTAGAGAATCTTGATAAAGATCAACAAAATGCTTTGGTAAGCGGCATGTACAAGACTAATGATCGGTCATTCCACATTAGTGACAAACATTTTCAACTTTTTTTTTGCCTTGACCACTTTTATCATTAGGATGTGGATTTTTGCTATTTTCCAACTTCTGGTGGTTACTTATAATCTTGTTATTTTTATGATAATTATGATAACCTCCACGACCTCAGTTAGACCAATGTCTATTATGATTATATGATGTTGCATTCACTTCAGGGAATGCACTAGAACCGGTCGGGATTGATTGGTAATTTTTCATCAATAACTCATTGTTTTGTTTAGCCACAAGAAGACACGAGATTAATTCATATTTATTTTAAACCTTTCTCATGATATTGCTATTGCAGGAGCATGTTAGTAGTATGAAAACTAGAGAAAGTTTTCTCTAGCATGGTTTTCCATAATGAAAATAGAAATCAAAATAAAGATGTGTATGTTAAGGAATTGTTATTTAAGAAATTCCATAAAATAAGTTGTAAGTGTTGTACATGTAAAATTATAAAAAATACATACCTGAAAATGACAAGGGCGACAAAGAGTTAGAGCTCTATGGTAGAGTTGTGCTGATAACGTGTTATAAAATATGATCAAATAACAAGATAAGTTATAGAGTAAAGAAAGACATGAGAGTAGAGAGAAATTTTATTCCAATACTTGTGATGAATTCATCAAACTTTACAATACATAATATTCACTATTTATACTAGACAAAGAAGATGAAAGGTGATGTATAATATGAATGTTTATTATAGTGGTGCATAACTACATTCATAAAACTCATAATAATGTTTGCTATAATGTTCACTAATTATGTAGAGTAATGGGGGAATATGGAGAATCCAATAGTCATTCACTAAATAATAATTCATAACAGTATGCTCTTATAGTTATTATACATTTTTTTTCTTTAAATATGAATATTGATGTTTTTTGAGTTTATAATCAATGTTGAATTTGTTTTTAATTACCTTTTTAATACAGGTATGGAATGATTTTTGTGCCGTTTACAGCCATTGATAACCACAAACATTCAATAAATATTGGATCAGGTTTGTTAAGCAACGAGTCAATAGAATATTATCGTTGGTTGCTCGAAGCTTTTCTGAAAGCACATGTAAAACACCCTCAATTAGTGTTAACAAACCAAGATCCAGCAATTCTACAGGCCGTTGAAGCAATATTTCCTACTTCTAATCATCGTTTATATATGTGGCACATTATGAAAAAACTACAAGCCAAGGTGTGTATATTTTGGTTAAAGTTAACACGCAACATGTTTTATTCAACAATGATTTACACAGTTTACATATTTTTAGAAATGATTTGCACACATCGAGCTGATTTTTTGAAAAACACAGATTTTCGAAAGCGTTTTACTAAGCTTGTTTGGAATGTCTACATCGAGCCTGAAGTCTTTGAATCAAGGTGGAAAGTCCATATGAGAAAATTCAAACTACAGGACAAAAGATGGTTCAAAGACATGTACAGGGATCGAAAGCTTTGGATTCCAACCTATTTTAAAGACATGCCACTATACGGTCTGATGAAAACTACTTCAAGGTCTGAAAGCGTCAACTAATTTTTTTAATAAATACTCTAACTCTGGTAATTTTCTTATCTATTTCATGATGAACTACGACACCGCAATTGGAAAGCAACGAAATGCTCAACAGAAACTAGAACATGATACAAAAAATGAAAAGCATGAAATGATGCTTCCAAGTGGATTATTAGAACATGCAGCTGCGGTTTACAGTAAAAAAATCTCTATGAGGTCAAAAAGGAAATATTTAAAGCAGCATGATACTGTTCTATCGACAGTGTTGAAAAGATTGATGGGTGGCAAGTTGTTATGATTACACAAACGGATAAGAGCAAATAGTTGAAGATAAAATGCAAGGTTATATTCATCGTTTAAACGCTATTCATTAGTGATCATACAAGTATATTATATCATTATTTTTAAATTACATATATTTGTTTCAATATTATGCAATAACCACCAACTAATATGTTAATTCAATCAGTTACTAACATACATTATTTTTATTATACAATGTAGGTTGAACTAAAGTTGTCTGAAAAAGAAGTTAAATGTTCATGCAATCACTTCATATGTACTGACATTTTCTGTCGTCATATTTTTGCTATATTGAAAAACAACCATGTTGAAGAGATTCCAGAGCAGTATATTCTAAGAAGATGGAGAAAGGATGCAATTTCCAGCCATTTTCTTGCCATGAAACATGTTGCCATGGAAACATAAAATGACACCTTTAAACTTCTAACAGAGGCATACAACAATATTGAATACTGCTTGGATCATTTCAAAAGAAGCAAGGAGAAATTGTTGGAATTTGTTGAAAAAACACGTAAGTTGAAGCAGGCAGCAATGAAGTTTGGTAGTTCAAACCAAACATCACCTGATAATGATGAAGAAGAAATTATTCGGATGCTTGGAATACGCAACATTCCTGATGAAATAAATATCCATCCACCTTCATCTATACGTACCAGAATGTGTAGCTGCAAAGAAAAAAAACCAGAATGTGCACAGGTTGCAATCAATATGTTAACCATAATTGGAGGACTTGCAAAGTCGGACTTGCACGAGAGTCAAAACAAGCTTAAAATGACCCATTCGTTTGCCCAATAGATTTTACTTTTCTATTAGATTTATGAATAAAAATATATTTCTATGATTTAGTATGTTATGTTACCTTAAAACACTTTCATTATTTTTAACGTTTTGTTTTATTCAACAATGAATAATAGCATTGCCAAATCTGGTAATCCTAACAGATTAATGATATTATCAAGCATTTAAACCTCTGTTATTTGATTAAAACAGTTTGCACTTAGAATAGATATATTTTTCCTTTCTTGAAATTATAAAAACATCAATCATTATAGACTATAGTCATATACAATTCAAGCAGTATTCATAGTTTATTGTATGTTGTTAGTAGTATATCATAATAACAAATGTTTGTACGATTAACTTTTAAAACACCTATACATCAAATATTGATTTACGTTTGCTTTTAGGTAAATTTTAATCATAAGTTTAACCATGGTCGATTTTAAACCCTTTGTTATAGTCAATAATGAATAATATGATAAATACATTAATTACTTTCAACATATTAATGATATGAAAATTGTTAAATACGCTTCTGTTAAGTGAAAACAATTTGCATTTAAAGTATAATATGTTATGAATAATTCATATATTTATTTTATTATTCAATTTTTGAATAACAACATATTTTAAGATATAAAAGCAACAACAATCATTATAGCATATAGATATATTCATTTAAATTATTAAAAATTCTGATTGTAAGGTCATAGTAATATAACATATTAACAAATGTTTGTTAGTAAGAATCATTCCTGAATATACACTAACATTATACCAGTCATGTTAATCATCATTTTTTGACATAATTTAATTTTTCCAATGTTAATGTAAAATTGAAACTACTAAAATATAACCATTCCATTACTAAAATTAGCAAACCAAAAGGAACTATTGTATGTTCTGCAACCCAAGTTAATATCGTTAGCATACAAAACCATTGTTTTAAAACTATCCAAAAGAAACCATCGAAGTCATAACTAAAATAACGTTTTTAACATAATTAACTTAAATCATCCAATCTCCTGTGAATTTGTTCATTTGCAATGGCCAACAGTTGAGAACGTTGTCTTGAAGGAATCTTGTGGAATTCATCAACCTTTTGCAGCACATAATCCTTTTGCACATTATATTCATGAGTGACGATTTTGTATAAATACTTTGTCCTCAGTTTAACAAGTTGATCATCTTGTGCAGAAGACTCGTTCTTGAACCCAACTTTAAACTCATTCATACTTCCACCCATATACGTTTCCATGTGACGCATCGTAAACACACCACAATCAATGTTGTTGTTTATTGTTCTCCAAGGCATTTCCAGTCTATGTGGCATCACATGTGAAAACATCTCAGCTTTTGGATGATTATGAGATTTTAAGTAATCAACTATGTACTCTTTCTGAAAATGTAAAAAAACGTTGTCAGCACATATGAAATTTTATTAACTATGTATTGTAAATTTTATTAAACACTTACAATGATTTGGGGCAATTGACCATATCTCTCATCATTAGGATTATCAACTTTGTTGTTGTCAATGATTACAAACTCTGGATGCTGTAGATTGATCACAAAAAAGAAAATGTGGAAGGAACGGATGACTGGTAGGAAAAGCTGCAACGTTTATTCATTTACATGTATTCACTTTATTTGATATTCATATTTGATCAATGATAAATAAACACATAAGTAAACTGTTCAGATATATCTCTTACCAATCCAACAAAACGTAGGCTTGCGTCCATATCTTCAATAGAGAGCACCAGATTTTCAATGAATTTATCTTTACATTGACTTTCTATTAAATCACTTTCAAGATACGAATTCTGTGATCCATTTTTAAAAACTCATTAGCTTATTTATATGTTGTATTTAAAAAATAGTATAATCAACATTGAACAATATTAAATTATACCATCACATCTGTCTTGCAATAAACTCTCAGAGGCGATTCAGGTACATGCTTACTTTCATCAAGATTCAACACTTGACTTCAACAATCAATGACATGACCAAATAGTTCACATGTTGGAAAAAAAATCTTTCCATGTGAAACCTCTGAGCAAAAAAACCATCCAAAGTATGGAAAACTATATCACTGCAAAAGAAGTGACCAATTAATAGTATTTTTAATAAGCAACCAAAAAAATTAAGTAATTTTAAACATATTTTCAATGCAACTTACTTTGGCTCTCCCTAGAGAGAGAATATCCATTCTGATACACGTTTTTCTTATCGTGGAACTCCTTTGATGATATCAACAGCCCGTATAATGTAAGGAGATTTCAGATATTCGGATTTCATGCGAGGCTTGTACCCTCTTCTACTAACCCAATGTTCATCATTGTTGAATGGTACTACAGACAAAGGAATTGACATTTCCATTTTAAAAGGTGGTGTAGTCTTAAAATATTTTCTTCCAGATCTATTCGAGAAGTGTGCATATTCCTGTGACATCTCAATACTACATTTTGCTATCGGGGAGTTGTCAAAATGTTTGTGAGTAGTTTCTAGAATCAGCGTACGTTCAATTTCAGCCGCGTTATCATACCACCATTGAGATTGTTCTGGTTCCTCTGATGCGGAAACTTCACTGAACAAATCATTTACTTTGTTTTTCCATTCTTTGACCAACTGATTCTCAGGATATTTCTTGAAAGCATCATTTAGTTTGTCTTCCAACACTTTCTTTTGCTGCAATAGGATGTCGTACATCTCCTTTATTGTTGAAATAGTTGCCTAATTAGGTCACCACAATAGAATTACGTTACAAACCAAATAAAAACATTAATATCTCGGTTAGTATTAATTAATACTATAGTAACTAATAATTCAAATGTGAATAAGTAGTAAACTACCTCAACACTTTCCCCACTTCCACTAAAAATTTCCTCTCCTTGATTTCCCTACGAAAAGTAATACAATATTAGTTTTTGTACTATTACCTTATTATTTATTAATGATTATATTATACTAATACCTTACACCTTCTACCACTACTTTTAACACCTCCTGCATCATTTCCCTATCAATAATGTATGAATATAAATATATAATTAATTTAGATTATACAAAATAACAAATTTTAAATTTCATATGCATTATTCAATATAATAAAATATTATCTGAACTTTTTCTTGCCCTACATTACTAGTTCCCGATGCTTCATTGATGACTTGAAATGGTTCTTGCAATTCACCCATACCAAGACCTATTGTCCTACACTCTACTCTTTCTCGCTCACGTAGTTTATCAACATTCCAAAAACATATTGTTGGTCTGCCTCGTACAATCTTCACTGATTCGCATCGAACACTTTCTACGTATAGCAACTACAACAAAGACAAATAAAAAATGTATTAATCAAATAAAATTTAATGAATTTGTACACATAAGTCTACCAATATTTAATGACAACTGAATTTAACACAACTCTTACTAGTAGTAATATAATTGGCCCAACATAGAATCTTTTTTGCTGTTTGGATTGCATGCACTTTTTGTCGCCTTAAGGCAATCAAAAACATATCCACACCAATCAATGTCGCTTAGATCCAGGTCTTTTGTGACTTTTGATAACATGGACAGGTCACATGTTCCCATGCTCATCAACTGACCTAGTGTATTACACAGTATGACAAAGATGTTTACTTTAAAGAGTAAATCCGCACGTGTTGATTGCATAATAACTTGTTGAACTGCCCTTGGTCTAATATTATCTTCATCATCGAATTGTTTCGTCCAAACAATTATCATGTCGTATATGACTTCTCTATAAGGCATGGACTTTATTGTAACATTTCCCAGAGGCAGACCCAACATTTCGTGAATAACTTGCCGATTAATTGGTATCTCTCCATGATAAAGGTTGAGTACCATCCTATCTGCATCAAAATTACTTATAGTATAATGCCCCATAATTGATGCACACCCATCCACTTTCATATTCAACAAATGCCCCAGACCAATAGAAGAAATATATGCTTCATGTTCCTTGCTAAGGTTATGCATACAACTGTACAAAACATTTGGAGATGTTCGTAGTTGTATTCACTTTGCTTCTTCTGCATCATTTCCTACAACTTTAGGCAGTTTCCTTGCTTTCACTACATTTCCTTCTTTATTCTTTTGTCTTTTAAATTTATTCACATTTTCTTTGTCATCATTTTTGAATGAAGTGTAATGCATTCTCTTTTTCCTTGTTACCACAGGTTTGGCATCTTCAAATTCAGAGTCTTTAACTTCATCAAGCTTCTTGACAGTAACATTATCTTTTCCTGTAAAGACATACTTAACACAATAGATGACTATAAATAAATTACAAAAATAACACTATACTAAATTTAATTAAAAATAAATCATTACCTGAACATGAGTTTAAAACAACAACTTCATCACCTTTTATTTTACATCTATCAAACCGTCTTGTTGTTCTCAATTCATTTTCCCTATATATTCCACTATCTTCTGTCATGTCATAACTTTCAATCAAACCTGCCAATATGTAGACAACATAATCATAACTGAATACACTTTAATATACAACTTACATTACATGAAATCATCATTGATACCTTTTTGTTTTTGTATCTTTTTTTTAGATTTTGAAAACCTTGATTTTCCTGTAGCAAACTTCTTCACATTGACTTTGGGTTTCATGTTCTTTTTCTATTAATAAATATAAAACAACACAAGTTATTAAAACTAACTACAACATCAAACTCTAAATAAATTTATTTTTAAACAAATACATTACTTGAATCTGAGCTCAAAACTACAACTTTAAGATCCTTTCGCATTGAATTATCTGGTGTGCGATTAACACGTTCCCCCATACCTGTCCAAAAAATAAGAGACATAATCGCTATAGACTCCATTTGATATCTAACATTTTAAATTTCATTTAATCATCATCACCACCAGTTTGTTTTTTAGTTTTCTTCTTAGGTGTTGAACACTTCTTTTGTCCTTCTCTTCTAATCCGAGGTTATACTATTTTGTTTCCTTGATTGTCTTCATCTTCAATATCAATAAGCAATGGATTGGATTCTTCATTAGTGAATTTGCTGAATGCCGTCTTTAGTAATATCCTCTCGCTTTTCTTTCTACCTAATAGTAGAATTAAAATACCTTACTCATTTATAACTCAGAATTGAATCATTAACAACTCAAATAATCATAAATTATCCCTACTAAACACAAACTCAATCAAACACATACCCAAGAACAGAGTAATGTTTACAATAATCATCACTTAACAAACAGTGTAATTAACTTACTCACAAAAACCAGTAGGGACTCCTACACCATTATTCTTTACTTAGTACATCATGTACATGATCAAAACCACATACATACTCAATAAAGTACACATTCACAACCGATTATGCCTTTAACAATCTATATAATATACGACCAACAACAAGGATTAATACTAGAAAAGTATTTATGTAGCACAAACAATCAGGTTTTACAAATAATAAATAGTAATGACATTTATACCCTTCCTTATTATTTTTCTATTAAACACCATTCACAATCGAATACTAATATCAATTACTCCTCTTGTCCTACTGATAATCTACTTACTTTTGCATTCAACAATACGACTCTGAAAACAAAAGCAAAAAAAAGCACTAATTTTGGGTTTTTGTAACCTTACTTCAGTTCAAAGTAGTCGACTACGACTACACATGTATCTGCATCTTAAAACTTTTAATCACAATCATAAACGATTGATTTTTAAACACATTCAATATCAGATTACCGTATCTTCAAAACTCATCTACAATTACCATTTTCATTTAAACATTGACATACACCAACGTTTTATTTGTAAAATACAACCTTTAAAT